GGGGGAGAGAGAGAGAGAGAGAGAGAGAGAGAGAGAGAATTTTGAATTTTAACAACACTTTATTTTGCCCTCTTCAAATTGCAATTAATACAGATATAAAAATGTATATAATAAAAATTAATAACACACACATTAAACAAAATTTTCAGAAAAAGACAACATTTCTCCATTAACAGTACACATTTTCCCATTTAGGCTCCAAATCTCTTTAAAGCCTTCAACATCATCCATTAATCTATAATAATTAAATTCCAAATGTATTCTAGCTCTTATTATACATAAAAAAAACAAGAACATCAATATTATTATTTTGTTCCATTTTCCTTTTTCTTGTTGCATAAATTATTAATTTAGCTTGTCCCAACAAAAAATTAAAATTTTTACAAATATTCCTCTTATTTTTCTCAATTTTCACTCCAAAAATGAAACAAACATCAGAGAACATTTCTCCAAACAAATTAAACAATTCTTTCAAAAGAACAAATAAAGGCAACAATCGTTCACACCTAAGAAAACAATGAAAAATAGTTTCTCTACAATTACAAAATGGACAGGTATCAGTAATTTCAGAATTTATAATAGACACAAAAGCATTTACCGCAATAATACCGTGCAATATTCTCCACTGAATATCTCCAACCTTTTTGGTCAATGGTGGCTTATAAATTGCTTCCCATACTGGCGTTACCTCATCTTTTACATTCAGATATTTCCTCCATGGTGTATCAATCCTATTTTTTAATTTTCCTTTATTCAGCACCTTGACACAAAAAGAATACATACTTTTCCCTCCTACAGAATTAAAAACCGTAAAACGAAAATCATTTTTTAAAAAACCTGAAAAATCTTGAAAGTCCTCTTCGTCCATTTTCGGTCTCACTCCCATACTTGGAAAAAAATCAGTACATTCAGGCAATTCCGAACCTTTCATCCAGTTTTTAAGTCTTAATTTTTCTTCTTCCGTTAATAAGTCCCGAAAGCTTTGTAAAAACTGTCCAACTTTTCGAAAAGAATGAATACCAAGTCTTTCCGCCACAGCCTCCACATTATTCAAATTCGGACCTGCTAGCATTGTCATATGTTTCATTGTCACAACTCCAGCTTTAATAAAAAGGTTCTTCTAATAACCAAAATAATGAGGATTTTTTTGTAAACAATCTTTTCCTTTCTACAACACTCCATGCTCTAAACACACTACAATAGAAAGAAAAAAATCCTCTCACATTCAAACAACTGGTATCCAGAAGAAAGATTGTTTGTTTCAAACCCAAATTTCCAACCTGTCTTAAAATACGCCCAG